AGTCTTTGTAAGGAGGTCACGATGCATTGCGATATGAATGTCGTGATGCAGCGTAAACTTGAATTCGGAATTCGGTTGGACGCGGACAAACAAATGGCATGTGGATGGTGTGCTTTTGCTGTCACCCATTTGAATCCAGCACTATGGTCTTGGCACAGTACTTTCTCCCTCCACTCTGTTTGCAGTCAAGGTGAGTTGTCGTTCTTCTTACTGTCAATTTACATTGATTTAGTTTCTAATGCGTTACAGCCGACGTTCACCGAATTCGTCATCATGTCGAGCGCTACCTACAGTGTGGCCCGGGTAGCTTATCTGGCCTCAGATATCGTCGTAGATTCCCAGCCTACCCTTCCGTTGACCTCACAATTTGCAAAGGAGTATAGTTCGCTCTCTGCGACTTCCAGTCGACGTCCGACAATCCTGTCGGTGCCCCTAGGCGGCGATCCAGGGTCGACATTACTCAGAAACGGATCGGCTGCTGGACTCATTTCGTTTACCTCTTCAGCAGCAACACAAACTATAATCAGGCTTGTCCTGGATGCCGCTGAACTTTCTTCACTTCCCCTTGTCTTGCATCTTGCCGTGAAAAATGACCTGTCCGAAGTCCTTCTGCTCCATTCCGCCGTCCCTTTCTTCCTCGTCTCTAGAACCCCCCAACAAGCACACGATAACTCACTCCTTGCATCTCGGTTAGCACGGACGGAGAAGAAGGCAGTCGTGCATGCCTTTTATGACGCGAAAAGTGATTCTGTGGAGGAAATACCGGAGAGTGAGGTGCAGCCTTTCCTTCTCTCGGAGAAGCTTGGGTCAACCAATGGAGCGAATGGACACAATGGAGCGAACGGGCACAATGGTCATGCTAACGCTGCAAATGGCACCAACGGTGTCAATGGTCATTCAGCAACCGTAGTATCCCGTGGCTTAGAGCTTTTCAAGCTTTACGAGCGCGCAGCGCTTTCTACGGTCGTTCGTATTCGTCGCGCATGCTCTCCGCTCTCTGTACATGGTTCCAACAAACCCCACACTGTCATCTTTGGGCTGGGTGACATCCCTTCTGTGGATATTGATGGAGTGTCGGTTGTCTCACTCAGCTTGCTCACTCCCCTACCCCCCTCCCGCATACTCGATGTCATTCCATCATCTGCGTCACGTATCATTATTCTTGAGCAGCTCCATCGCTGGAACACGAAATGGACACCTTTGTACCTTGAAGTTGTCGATGCAATTCACCAGCGGGAAGTAGAGCAGCGACCCCCACATTCAGAGTGTTTACTTCAGTGACCCTGCCCAAATAATCCCTCTCGCAATTTTGAAACTTCTCCAAGTAGCTCCCTCTTCTGCTCCAATTCATCTCGGAAGCGCCAGCACCTCCTCACTTCTTTCGCCGGAAGTGCCACATATACCCAAGCACGAGTCGTCTTATACGAAGATCTTGTCGAACGTCTTTGGCGAACGTCTCGAGGTTTCCAATTCGCCTGCCTTGGTGCTTAAACAAGGCGCTATTGCCACCAGCCCGGAGTTTGCACTGGGCCGCGTTCGAGGACAACTCGATCAACGAAATGAACTCATTCGCTCTGTGCAAAAGCTATTGGAAGTTAAGGAAATCAGCCCCGAGCTGCATAAACTGTGTAGCCAGTGGGTCCTTGTCAAGGACGACGATACCAAGAGTCGCTCAGTGGGAAAGGAGCTCATCGCCGCTCTCGAGTCTTCAAAGTTCTCGAGTCCTATCATCGACCGCATTCTTGCACTCCGTGCACACTTCCCCACACGCTCGAGATGGATCATCGGATCAGACGCCTGGTCCTACGATCTTGGCGCTTCTGGTCTGCACCACGCCATCGCATCCGGTCTCAACATCAACATTCTCATCATCGACACCCTTCCCTACACATCCCGGAACTCCGCTGATCCACACCGCCGTAAGCAAGACGCTGGTCTGTACGCAATGAACCACGGCGATGTCTACGTAGCGAGCGTCGCGGTGTATTCGTCGTATGCTCAAGTACTCCAAGCCATCATGGAGGCGGACAGGCACAAGGGCCCCAGTGTCGTGCTCGCATACCTGCCTTACCAAAATGAGGATGCACCAGCACTTGAGGTTTTGAAAGAGACCAAGCTCGCTGTCGACGTTGGGTACTGGCCACTTTACCGTTGGGACCCTGTGAAGGAAGCACAAGGCAAAGAACCATTTGCGCTCGACTCAGACGCCGTGAAGAACGACCTCCAGCAATTCCTCGACAGGCAGAACCATCTGTCGCAACTCGTACGCTCCAAGCCCGAGCTTGCCACGGAACTGGTGAGCAGCTTGGGTGAGAATGTGAAGGAGGCGAGGAGGAGGAAGGCACAACAGGCATATGATGACTTGGTTGTCTCGCTTGATGCGCCACCGTTGGTAGTGCTGTATGCATCGGATGGTGGCACCGCAGAGAAGTTTGCGAAGCGATTGGCCAACCGTGGTAAAGCCAGAGGCTTGTCGACGTCCATCGGCACCATCGACTCTATGTCCATCGATACCCTCTCTCAAGAGGAGTACGTGGCCTTTGTCACATCTGTGGCAGGCCAGGGTGAGCCCCCACAGAACGGACGGACTTTGTTCAAGGCGCTCAACGCTGCTGCTCTTCGTGGAGAGAAGCCTTTTTCGAAGCTTCGATACTCGGTCTTCGCCCTCGGTGACAGCCACTATTGGCCACGCCCAGAAGATGCTCACTACTACAACAAGCCAGGCAAGGACCTCGATACTCGTTTGGAGCAGCTGGGGGGAGAGCGCTTTGCGGATATTGGGCTCGCTGATGACCAGGATGCAGATGGACCAGATACCGGGTACAAAGTGTGGGAGCCCCTCGTGTGGAAAACGTTCGGCGTCGACAACATTGAAGTGAAAGAAGCAGAACCCGACCCAATCACTAATGAGCATATCAAGGCGGCCTCGGGTTACCTTCGCGGCACGATTGCTGAAGGTCTTGAGGATAGTAGCACTGGCGCCCTCGATCCCAGTGACACCCAGCTCACGAAGTTCCACGGTATCTACCAGCAAGATGACCGCGACATCCGTGACGAGCGTCAAGCTCAAGGCGTTGAGCCTGCCTACAGTTTCATGATTCGCGTTCGCACGCCCGGTGGTGTGTGCACGTCTGAGCAGTGGTTACAGATGGACCGGATCGCTGATGAACATGGCAATGGGACGTTCAAGATCACCACAAGGGCGACATTCCAGTTTCATGGTGTCATCAAGCGACACTTGAAGCCTTCCATTCAGGAAATCAACAAGGTCTTGTTGGATACTTTGGCTGCGTGTGGTGACGTCAACCGGTGAGTCCTGCGGCTTGCGGTGATATTTCCCGCTGATCGTCCGCCTTAGGAATGTTATTTGTTCCGCTATTCCTTCTTTGTCCCGACTTCATGCGCAGGTCTACAGCTTCGCGAAGCTTGTCAGCGCTCACTTATTGCCTAGAACAACGGCATATCACGAGATTTGGTTGAACAAGAAATTGGTTGCTGGCGAGGCGGTCAAGGACTTTGAGCCGCTCTACGGCGAGTTCTATCTTCCTCGAAAGGTATGCTTGATGCCGCACTCGTTTCAAACCGATCCTGATGTTACGACAGTTCAAAATTGCGGTTGCGGTACCACCTACTAATGACGTTGATGTCTTTGCAAACGACTTGGGCTTCATCGCCATTGTCAATGAGCAAGGAGAATTGGCTGGCTTCAATGTTACTATCGGTGGTGGTATGGGAGTAACCCACGGCAATAAGAAAACATACCCTCGAGTTGCGGACGTTATCGGTTTCTGCACTGTCGAACAAGGTCCTATCGTAGCAGAAAAGGTCATGCTTACACAGCGAGACAACGGGAATCGTGCAGAGTGAGTCTTCTAAGCGTTCCACACTTCTACGTTCTGATTAGTTTTCAGTCGCAAAAACGCTCGATTGAAATACACCATTGACCGGATGGGACTAGACGTATTCAAAGCAGAGGTTGAGAGCCGACTCGGTTATCCATTGGCCCCAGCACGACCCTACACGTTCGATCGCAACATCGATGACTTTGGCTGGTCAACGGGAGACGATGGCAGGCATCATGTAATGCTCTTCATCGAGAACGGGCGCATTCAGGACGAGCCCGAACGCGATTTTAAAACTGGTCTTCGCGAGATTGCCAAGATACACAAGGGCACGTTCCGTCTGACCGCGAACCAGCATATTATGATCTCCGAAATCGCTACGGAAGATGTACCCGAGATCAAGAGAATACTCGCCAAGTACAAGTTAGACAACTTGAACCACACTGGTTTGCGGCTGTCGTCGTCGGCTTGTGTTGCCTTCCCGACGTGCGGTAAGTAGTTTCGCACTTACGAACTATCGTTTCTGACATGAGAATACTTCAGGTCTCGCAATGGCTGAGTCTGAGCGCGTGAGTAGTGACTTTGTACAACTCCTAATAAAATTTGATCTCATCGTGACGTCTTCTAGTATCTACCGGTACTCATCGACAAGGTCGAGAAAATCTGTGAGGAGAATGGGCTTCGCAACGATTCTATTGTTATGCGGATGACTGGTTGCCCCAACGGCTGTGCACGACCATATGTCGCAGGTAAGACACTCCTGCTTCCTCTCCAAAATTTTCGCTTAACATCTCCACAGAGGTCGCCTTCGTAGGAAAGGCACCTGGATCTTATTCCATGCTTCTTGGTGGTGGATACTACGGCCAGCGCTTGAACAAGATATACCGGGAAACAGTATCAGAACCCGAGATCCTCGCCATCCTTAAACCTATGATCAAGCGATATGCGCTCGAGCGAATCGAGGGCGAGCATTTTGGTGACTTTGTCATCAGGGCGGGATACATTGCCCCAACGACATCCGGGAAAGAGTGGTACGACAGCATGGGCGGAGAAGGACAGTACCGCGAGGCTGCAGCCGCTGCATGAGTCCCCGACCTTTCGTATTTGCCACATCTATGAATCTATCTTTTGGGTATCAAGTCACCTTACAACTCGCCGGTCGTGAATGACGTATAAAATTGAGATGTATATATACTTTATTCATTGTATCGTACACACCACACGAAATCGTCTAGATCTAGTTCCTACTGCTTGCTAGCCTTGGCTTCTGCGAGTGACTCCTTCACGGCGCTAATAAGCTTGTCAACGTCCCCCCGACTAGGGTCGACGACAGATGCACCCATGTGCCTATAAGAGTATGTCAGTCACATTACCTCATATGTGTTTCACGGGAAGAAAAACAACGCACCCTATACGGAAGTATTTGTCTTTTGAAGCAGGATGATTTCAGTAAAAAATACTCCTCGCAGGGAACTTTACTGACCTTTGATACTGGCATGCAACCCGCCGGCAACAACGACGTCTTTCTTCAACAGACGAGGAACAATATCGCTCGCTGTGAAACCGTCAGGGTAGTAAAGCTGTATGCGGTATCAATCTCAGTTGCTCTCCAATCAAATACTATACGCACCGCAGACATGCCATTCGCCTGGACGTCTTCACTAAGAGGCACGCCCCTGAAACCGATTTCCTCTGCTGCCTTCTTGATACGTCTGCTGACCTCTTGGTGGAGCTTGAATCGTTGCTCGAGTGAGACAGAGCCCTTCATTATCTGCGTGAGGGACGCATGGAACGCATAGATGAGGTTGACGGGTGGCGTGGCGAAGTAGGCGGCGGAGTTGTTCTCGTAGGCTTTCATTATGGGTAGCCATCTATTTGGGAGTTGGAGTTTATTTTGTAGAATAGAAACATAAACATGGACTGTGCGCACTTCTTCCAGCTGCCGTAGTAGGTTGTGACCGGCGTTGAGCGGTTCTGGAACACCTTGAGGAGTTTGTATTAGTAGCTGCGCGCCATGGTAGGGAAAAAATATAAACCTGGACGGCTTTCTGAGAAGCAATGACGATGCTGAGACCCGGTGGCGTGCCTAGACCTTTCTGGCTGGCTGTCATCACGACATCAATGCCCCAGGCATCCATTTGGATTTCTTCGCTCGCCACAGAGCAGACAGCATCAACGACAACCTAGTACCCATCCATAATGAGCACACGGGAATTAAGGAGTCCTCGGAGGAATTACAAGTGTGTCCGGAGAAACTCTCTTCACGACATTTGCAATAGCCTTGATGTCAGGACAAAACGGCTATCCAAGATAGATCAGTCCGACATCCAGGAACCTCTCAGGCACCCCCGAAAAAGTATCACTGACCTGTCGAGGTGTCGACGTGGGTCACCGTAACAATCTTGTACTTCTTCGCTTGAAGCGCGCTTTCAATATCAGCCACCTTGACAGCGCCACCTATCTCAGCCTTGATCTGGTCTACATTGGCGCCATAGGTTTGCAAACTGGAGAAAGATGAAGAATGAGCGACCATCACGACGCTCACCCCACGTTCAATCCCTACCAGTCTGCGAAACTATCGGCAAAATAACCACTGTGGAGAACGAGCGCGTTCTCGCCTGGTTCTACCAGGTTTGCAGAGACCTACTAACGCATAAACACGTGTGCACCCCTGAAATTGACACGAGACTACATACCTGATCCCATCCTAGTGTCCCTGACCCAGCGATCAGGAACGGCTGCGCGTCCTTCGAGTAAAGAAGTTGTCTGACAAAGTCGCGTGAGTTTTAGCACTGTCGCTGTGTTTGTGCCCTTGCCTAGTCATGCGAATGCAATCACCAAAGACTAGTGCAAAGTCGGGTGACATGTGCGACATCGAAGGATGCGCATTGGCAAAGAGGACCTATAATCATCTGAGTCGGCATCACGACTCGGAGTCCAGGGGGTAACGCACCTCATCCGTGACCTCAATTGGTCCTGGGATGCTAAGAACGCAAGAACTCGGAATGAGATCACAGCGGGAGAAAAACACGAGACGTACAGCAAAAGTCTGTAAATGGCAAATGCAATCTCTCAGTCTCGGAAAACTCATACAACGACCTGATCATAACTCACTTGTGTGGCGCCTTCAAATTAAGTTGAGCATTCAATCCCAAGGCACCCGAATAATGGCAAAACGACGCGCACCTGTACGAATTTAGCACTCTGTAGACATCTTTCGAGCGGGACTTGTCGACGGATAGCTGAATATACGGGCAAGTGCGTAGGAGATGGAGGCAGAGGACTTAATGGAGGCGTTGCGGAGGGTACTTAGACTCATTGGGAAAACATAACAGGGCAAAACATGCTGCTATGTATTAACACCTTCGGGATGAGCGGAGTCGCTTGTTCCATTAATGCCAGATAAAGATCCCGTATGTAAACTCTCTGGTCACTATTCCGTGTAACCCACTCTAATTCCGTCTTTTGTCAATACCACGCTAAGCGTTCTTATCGCGCACGGGTATCAAAACATCATTATTAAATTTCAATCATATGTGATAGGAAAAACACATCATACAGAAGATTAATCTGAGCAGAACAGAACACACCTCTTACGACACTCGAGGCAAGTCCCATGATGATACTACGGAAAATCCACGGAAGATCACCGCCCAGCAACGATCCCGTCTGCAACTCCGTTAGCCTGCCCACCCCCAACAAATCCCGCAATAGTCTTCTGGAGATCCGTCCACTCGGATTCACGTGGAAGTGCCATGTCACCGATATCATAGACATACAACTTCCCGTCGCTCCCTCCGAGCGCGGCTCGCCGTCCGTCTTTTCTATCCCATTGTAACTTGTTGATAGCTCGACCAGACCCGACATTCGTGGAGACTACTGGTACCTGGAATGGAAGTGCAAGTCAGAAACAGAAGCGGAGTCCCGTGCACAGCATCAAAATTCGCCCAATCTAGATGAAACAAAAACTCACCTCCGTGTCCGTATTCAAATTCCAAACATCAAATCTCCCAGAACCATCAACCGTTCCAAATAGAGCAGGATGCGCAGGATGCCATTTCACATCATACACATAATCATCCGCCTCGTCGAAAGAGTAGATAGGAGAAATAGCATGTGCGGCAGTCGACGGTTTCGCAAGCGACTTTGCGCGCCAAAGCTTCACCGTCCAATCTACACTCGTCGTCAAAAACAGATCGGAAAAGTCTACAGGTCCCACAAGTGGATGGAAATGCAGCCCCATGACAGGCCCCGCGTGTCCTTTGTAGATATCATACTGATTTAACCCGGCTTTCGCACCCGCGCGGTCGTACCGATTGGCTTGATAGACATTGCCTTCTTCGGTCCCGACCCAAAACGTGGTCGTTTCATTATCCGGGAAGTCGAGTGTCGTGATGGCTACTTCGCCTGTTTTATTGTGACCTGCGTGAATAAGCTCTAGGGTTTCCTGAGGACAAATTCACGAGTCAGGCGTCAATTCATATCAAATACTTGGTAGAAATAGGCCTACTTGTGGTTGAGCGAGCATGTCGACAAGCCAACTACACACAGTGCCATCTGTACTGCTCGTGATCAAGTTGTGCGCGTTCTGAGTGCCGACCATTTGCATCGCATACACAGGGTGTGTATGTCCAGCAGCCGAAAGGGGCGTCTTGAGCACAGGTAGATGTTTCGACCGCGTATCCCACAGTAGAATCTGCCCCGAATACGTACCACCAAACACCAAGTTCGAGTGGAACGGGGAGAACGTGACGGAGAGGACATCAGACTTGACAAGATACCCTTCAACAAAATAAATACATGGCTTATACAGATGCTCACCGACCTGAGAGTGGAACACAAACTCGGGTCTGTCGAGTAGGTGGAGGTTCCATACTGCAACAATACCATCTGGCTCATTCAACGCGGCGGGGTTCTTGTTATACGACGCCACGCTCAACTCCGGGTACTGTATCAATCAGTCAGCAAGAATTATCATGCTTGAACGACGTCCAGACCTTGGGCGACCAATCAACATCTGTAATCGACCGATTCTTCCCGTAGCGTTCATCATAGAACGCGCAAATACGCTTGACGCGCTTTCCTTCCGAGTCATCCCTGAAATAAGTATCAACATACTGAAGCACGTCCACAAAATAAAAGGAAACATACCCATTCGCCTCCGTGCCTATAGTATAATCACGAATGTAATCATACCCATCATTCAACGCGCGCTGTAAGATCTTTGACGACTGTTCCACAAAGTCCAGGAATTCAGGTGCACTGAGTATATGCGAGCGTTCCTCTTCCGTAAGCTCTAAGTTATAACCGTCTCAGTTGCGAGTACCAAATGAAAGAGAGAAGAAAGGAAAACACACCCCGAATCTCCTGCTCAATCTCCTTCTCAAGCTGCACACTCTCCTCCTCAAGCTCCTTATCCTGCGCAATCCTCTCCGCCTCCAACTCCCGTTCGCGCATGATCTGTTGTCTGATCTCATCTTCTGATACTTGGGGCGTTTCAGTTTCGATGGCTGTCGTTTGCACTTCTTTGTTGTAGATTACACGTTCCTGGGTATGCGTGAGGTTTCAAGTTCGAGCAGAGGAGGAGGTGACGTGATTGGGGTACTTACGCGTTGTGGAAGCTCGAATAGCTCCTGCTCCACATCAATGAGATCCGGTATGAACCTCGGCGTCAACACCCTTCACACACATCAGCATCAGCATCAACACCACCGCCAGCATCAAAGACCACATACCTATCAACATGCTCCATCATCCCCACCATAGTCGTACCCATACTCACTCTGTCTCTATCGCTCCCAACATCGCTCTGCCGGCTCACTCTCCCAGAAGGTGAAAGCGCTGAGCTGTGGAGGAGATTTGTAGATGGTCGAGGTGGGGTGTTGGGTAGGGATGAGGAGGGCGTGACGTCTCCGCCTGTGTCTAAACCACTGCGGCTCCCGACGAGTTGGTTAACGAGGTCATCGACGTCACGGCGGGCTACGCTGGACGGACCAGGCTAGAGAAGATAGGATGAGTTTGAGCTTGGTAAGAGTGAAGAGAGAGTGTACAAACTTCTGTCTGCCGTCGCTCAGTTTCTGCTCGTTGTCGGTCTGCCCTGGCTTTCCGAAGTTCTGCCAGCTTGGCACGTTTAGCTTCGATCTCTGCTCTCCGCTTGTCTGACATTGATGAGATTTTAAAGGAGGTTTAGTGTCAGAGAAGACTAGGGGGTGCGAGACGCGTTATGTTAGGGAAAGACTTTAGTGATGCCAAGACGCGTTCTGAGCAGTATAAAACATCCGCGCCCTCAATTCATTAGGTCGAAAATTCACAAGTTCCACTTGGTTCGCACAATCAAACTCAAGTATGCTCGGAGAGCAAATTGCATTCAGAAACTACAGGCGTCGATATATGATACGTCTTCGTACATGCACGAATATACAAGAAACATTGGCAATGAGATAAATCGTAAAATAGACGAGAGAGATAATTCCACAAGAAACGCGCAGTCAAGTACATACAGATAAAAAGAAAGAGGAAGAAACAAATCAAGAGACCGTTACATGGTGAAGGAAAAAGAGTAGACTGAGGCTAGAATGTGTGTTTGGGACCGCGAGCGGTGGGCGGTGGCCTCGACTTCTTGGGCGGTGAAGCTCCTGGTCGTAGGGGACAGAAGGAGGCCGATAGGTTGTTGGTCGGTCGTAGGGGACCTGTGACGTCGAAGATAGCGGAGATGCTGGGCGGCGCGTAGAGATAGAGTGTGCGCGGCCGGCGATAGCCTTCAACCTCGTGGATTGCTCCAGGTCGTAGGGGACAGCGAGGGAGGCGGGTACGCGTCTTCGGCGGGATACGAGTAGTGTTGTGGATTAATTTGTACCGTTCTAGTCTGGGGGCGCCAGGGTGGATGTGAGGCCGAGCTTAGCCATGGCGTCGGCCCAGCCATCGATGAGAGCTGCTTTGTCAGCGAGGATCTCATCATGAAGTTGCTGGAGGCGGCCTAGTTGAAATGAGTAAGCGATGCGGACGTCATGAGAAGTTGCTCACCAAGGTAAGTTCGTGATCGGGCGGCGCGCAAACGAGCAGAATGCTAAGAAAGTAAGATGAACGTCATGGTTAAATTTAGTAAAGATGTCATACCTGATGTTTGCGCCGGTTGGCGATGCGCACAGTATCCGGAGGCTTTGGCGGAATGGTAATAGGCTGAGGTGGATTAGTGTTGAAAAAATGCACTGTTGATATTAATGTGGTAGACGAGTCGGTGGTTGCAAGGGGGAGTTCTGGAGTTGGGGGGGTGTCGAAATCCTTGAGGTAGTCGTCATCGTCGGCCACAAAGGTCATGTCCGAGTCAATGGAGAAGCGCTTGTGCCTCTGGATTCTTGACGGAGCGGGTGTATAGATGTCGGGTGGTGGGTTGTCGTCGAGGGTGAAATCGCCATTCAGTATCTTTTTCGTGGTTCTGTGTGAAGCAAGAACCAGGCAGGCCGTCTTGAGGCAGAAATTCGCGACTGCAGCGCCGACTGAAAGGCGGTCGCCTGCGCTGTACAGTTCCTGACGCGTGGTGTCGAAGACGGTCTGCTTGAAGAAGGTGGCGGCGAGGCAGCCGGTTATAGTGACATGGGCGACACCGTGGAAGACGTTAGAAGTGGAAATCATGTTGGCAGATGGTAATCGATGAAGAAATGAATGTAAGCGTAAAACGAGGCAAGTTGACAGGCATCGAATCACAACTCATCCCATATTTATACCCCTCCGCGGTGGCGATGCAAATTTAACGCGTCAAGTCACGTGTTTCGAAAATCAATCCTTTAAATAGCGGGTGGGGCTTCAACCCGATTCCCCGCCAATGAGAGTACCATCTTGGCTGTATACGTGGAAGGAGAAGCCTTATATGACGTTCCTAGAAAATATGATGAACTGGATGAGAATGAAGCGTGCTCTACTTTGAATATAGGCTCGAGTCAAAGTTCGATCTCGCACCGTTCAAAAGCATCTTTCAAGCCTTCTTCACGCTGTGCAGAAACCGCCAGAGTCGTGCTATTCCTCACCCGCCAACTCAGCCCTCACTGCGCTCCCCCATTCGACCTGTTCAGCGTAGGTCTCAACCGCTGGCGATGTGTGCCTGTGCCAGTGATACCTCGCACTGTATGCTCATGGATGAGCTCAAGAATGCAGTTGAAGAGGTAACTCGCCGATTTTTATGAAGTTCCTATATGAACTATGGGCCTTGTAGTCGTCCACTCGAATGGGGAAACGAACGACAGAAGCCCGGATGGGGTGTATCCGTTCCATCCAGAGGACGAGGAAATTCGAGAGGTGCGCCCCTCGATTTACGTGCTTTGAAATTAGTTTCGCCTGATCTACTAGTTAGCCTCTCATCATCAGATTTTTCCGTATTCGAACGCCCAACCACGCAATGCAGAGTCATTTGGATTAGACACAGCTGGACGGTGGATGCTTCTGCAGGCAGCACGACCCAGAGTTAGCAAGAGTACTTGGGGATGTATTTCAGCCACCTGGAAATGTCTAAACCAGCGGCATGCTGCCATTCTTTCCCTCTCATTGGGTGATTATTCGGAACATATTTGATTATGAAGACGATTTTATCCATGATCTATCACTGTATCTTGTCAACTCGTGGACTGTACCAAACCATTGAAACTAAAATCAAGCAAGCTGAAACTCACTCCCAAGCGAACCATCCCACTCTCACCAGACAAAACAAGACTCGCAGCCCTCAAACTCCCAAACGAGATCCTACATGCAGCACGGCGAAGCGTGCGTGGACATGTAACGAGCACAGGTGTAGCAGATGTACTCGGAGACATGGAAGGCATACTTGGGGAGACGCAAGGGAGACGACAGCGGGATACGTAACGGAGGTAACGGAGTCGTCTGTGGACAAGGCAGTTCAGGACCAAACATTGAAGGGTTTCGCATGAGGTTGCGGCGGATGGGCTTTGGCTTTGGCGCCTTCGGTTCCTCCATCTCCTTTGGCCCAGGTTTCGGCTTCGGCACGGTCACGAGCAAGGCAGGTGCAGAGAGTGAAACGGTTGTTGCAGCAGTCTCGACACTCGCCGTTGAAAATTGATCGTCGTTATCCAACGAGCTAGAGGAAGCCTTTGGCAATAAAAAAGTGCTCCGCCCGATTCATGTTTCTAGCCTGATACTTGCGCAGAGATGATGTAGCAATAATTCGCGTTGATGCCAAAACTGGCAGGGTCTGTCGTGCATGTGCATTTGAGGATGCGATTAACGACCACGAAGGTTCCATCATACGGGGCTTCTTCGCACGTTGAGAACGTGCTTTCTCTCCTTCGTCAGAGGAGACCTATAGGAAAGGCATGTATCCCTGGCGGAATTTAGGTTGCCAGATGGGTGAGGCTCCTTTGATTGCGGTGGTGGGTAGCGCTCGAGGTTTGGATAGAGGTGTCTTTGGCGGGGAGATTACGGATAGAGCGGGAACTTGAGGTTTTTGTTTTTGAATAGGGCATTTTAACGTTCTTCGTTGACGGTGTCCTTGGAGTAGCAGGCTGCGTAGGGACTTTCTTGATCGATCATCGTGGACGATCTACGCAGGGAGAAAGGATGGAGAGGCGTCGATGCAGAAACGGGAGTGCCAAAGGCCTAGGTGGAATTCAAATTCAAGGACACATGGTATTACCTTGCGGAGCAAGGTCATGTAGGTGTTGGGATAATATGCGAGTCAAGTGACACGAACATCATGCTGTAGACATAAACTAAACAACAATCAACTACAGAATGATAGAATTGGAAAAAAAAAGCGGAGCAAGGTCATAAGTTCGCACAACGAACCTCTAGCACTCTGAGGCATTGAGCATTGATGAGCTGGGTGTCGAGGGAGCAAGGAAATGTTCCGTTGGACGAGGCGTATGGTGAAAACCGTAATACATTTTCAAAGTCATCCCCCCCTATCGGAAGGACCGGTAACCAGTTCATTGCCCGAGTCGGTCTGATGCGGAATCAAATCTCAGGCCGGGCCGCCGCCGCATCTATTTTCGATAGTCTGATCCAAGTCTGATCATACTCTGAGTCTCTAGGTGGGTTATTTTTTTAAAATGATCAGCGAGCATTCGTCTCGCTCTCGTTTCCTTCACCCTGGACTATATAGCGACGTGTACATGTAGGCGATTTCATAACGGCGGTGGTAGTATTACCAGTCATTGCCAACTCCACTCTATCCCATCTGCCAGCTATTTTGTCGTTTCCGCAGCGACGCCGAGTACTGTTGCAGCACGGCGTAGCGGAAGCACCGTGACTGTCGCAGTGATGGCGGGGGCAGTATTGCAGCACCGTGACTGGCGCACTTATCTGGTCTCTCAAGATCTTATCGCTCAAACTCGTTCTTTACTTATTCATTCTCTTCTACTGGGTCATGCTGATACCCAATGTCACTTGGCTGGACCTATGTCTTGCTGGTATTGGAGCATACTTGGTCAAGCAGGTGTTCAACAAGAATGCCACATCATACCCCCCCGGTCCCCGTGGGTGGCCTCTCGTTGGGAATATCCAAGACATGCCTCAAATCAAGCCTTGGCTCACCTTTACAGAGTGGGGCAAGAAGTATGGTGAGTATCTCTCGTTGTCCCAAAATAACGCATTCAAATTCTGTGCTTTCTAGGTGCTATCTCGCATGTTGAGGTCCTGGGTCATCACATCATTGTGCTAAATTCAGTCAAGAGCGCGGTGGACATGTTGGACAAGAAAGGCGCTTTGTACTCTGACCGTCCCGTTCTGCCCATGGCTGGCGAACTTGTTGGCTGGAAGTCCACTTTGGTTCTTCTTCCGTATGGTAACCGCTGCCATCAGCAGCGCAAGATCATACACCAAATTATAGGCAATCGTGCCGCCTTGGAAGTCTACCACCCGATCGAGGAGATTGAATTTCACCGATTCCTGAAGCGTGTGTTTTCGAACCCCGAACAACTCCAAGCTCATATTCGACAGTATGTTGTATGAGTTCCCTTGCATAGACGAGACCTTGAATTTCTATAGCACCGCTGGTGCCATCATCCTGCGAATTTCTCATGGTTATGAGGTGAAGGAGAACAACGATCCATTTATCGACCTTGCGGACCGGGCTGTGGACCAATTCTCGCAGTGCACTGCTCCCGGCGCCTTCATGGTTGACATCATGCCATTCTGTAAGACTATAAGATTCTGAACTTTGCTTGTAACTCGTCTGATTGTTTCCAGTGGCCAACGTCCCTGAATGGTTTCCTGGTGCTGGCTTCAAACGCTTAGCCCGCGAATGGTCCAAGACTCGCGAGGATATGGTTGCCACACCCTACAAGTTCGTTAAGGATCAGATGGTAACAAACATTTATAGTTTTGCAATCACGAGTTGAACGTTTCACAGGCTGCTGGCATTGCCCCGACGTCTTTCACCTCAAATCTGTTGAAGGGCCGTGCTTTATCTGCGGAAGAGGATGATATGGTGATGTGGGCTGCTGCATCCCTATACGCTGCTGGTTCCGAAACGGTTGGCTCCCCCCTTCATATCACTATATTTTGAAACCAACGCCTGTCTCCCCAGACAGTTTCTATGATCTACTCGTTTTTCCTTGCCATGACACTGTTCCCTGATGTGCAGAAGAAGGCTCAGGCTGAAATAGACGCTGTCGTTGGTCCTGATCGTCTTCCCTCCTTTGCAGATCGCGACTCCCTCCCTTATACCGAGGCGCTTGTGAAGGAAGTCTTCCGCTGGAGTGTTGTCGCACCAATCGGTATGTGGATCTCGTTTATCGCATTCTTTAATTGCCGAGCGGTATCGATTACTCAATTGACAGGTATCCCCCATCGCGTCACCGAGGACGATATCTATGACGGGTACCACATCCCGAAAGGTTCCTTGGTAATACCTAACATTTGGTTAATACTTTTATTTTTCCGTATTCGACATATCAACCAAATTGGAAGACAGGTTCATGCTCAATGACCCGCGGACATATGGTAACCCCTCGCAATTCAACCCTGAACGCTTCTTGGACAATAACGGGAAAGATCCTGAACTCGAACCTCGCACGATCTGCTTTGGTTTTGGTAGACGGTAGGCATGGAATCGATTTTCAAGTGCAATGTTAACTTTCTGCTCTGCAGTATCTGCCCCGGTACGCCTTAAATCATGCTCAACAAACAGTATTCTGACGTTTGCTTTCATGGACAGGTCTCCACCTCGCTGATGCTTCCGTCTGGATATCCATCCGCAATGTCACTCGCAGTGTTTGATATCTCCAAGGTCGTTGAGAAGGGTGTTGAGATCACCCCTGAAGTTGACCATACACCAAGCACGATCAGGTATGTCGTGTATCTTATTGCATTCGCGGTGCTGGTTTTCATAGAGGTACTCCCAGCCACCCCAAGCCGTTCAAGTGCTCTATCAAGCCTCGTTCTACAACCGCCATTGCGCTCATTCAACAGGATGCTAACTACTAAGGGCGCAAAGATGATTCTCGTCATCTCAATCTGTCGTGCATCCCGATATTGTATATATTTTGTATCATCTTGTTGAATCAATACTCCTCGCTGTCTACATTATAGTACACACCTCCCGCCCAACAACTTGAATAAGGAGCGTCCTCGAGCCCCCCCCCCCCGTCAATGGCCGACGCCTTGACGTGTTGCAACTACCCTCAACTACTACCATCTCACACCGTTGTGAACCCCACATCCCCCTCTCAACCGTGGAGCTCCAAGTCTTGTGAACATCAGAAACATATTCAAACCTCGTAGCCTGTCCGTCAACCTGGGGGGTTCTGCCGGCACCAATGCGAAGAATGTTGTCACCGCGTGTCCCGTCGTGCTATTCCACTACATGAAGGATTTCAAGGCGTGGGGAAGTACACAAAGTGGTGATTGTACAGGACGACATAGGTGTCTCTTTGTTTGCATGTAAGCAAAGCAATGGCCGTGCACCATAGGTTGGACGCAAAAACGGAAGTTCAGCTTGCGGTAGATCATCGAACAGTGCTTCTGAACGAGCTCGTGTGCTCAGTTTCTCGAGGATGGTCTCACGGACCTTCACATACATCACTACATGATAATATTTTACTCAAGTGTATACCTTTAAAATTCTCATGGGCAATGACATGTACCAACCTGTCAACCCCCAAACTTCTAAACGTCCCTCCTTCCCGTCACCCACTTCCGGATGTCCCAATGGATTGTTTACCCCCTCGAACCCCTCCACAAGGTCAGAGACATCAATTGCCCAATATGGGCTGGCGGCGCGGAACATGTCGGGCCTGATACGCGCAGGGGATGTAAATGCGGAGAGGGGAAGATGGAAGACGGTCGCCACCTCGGCCTGAGATATTGTGAGCGAGGAAAGCGAGATGGAGGGCAAGGGATCATCTAGGGATCCGGTATCTGTTCCATAACTGCCACGTGGGTATACACAGTTAGCCTATCAGATGTGTCGGCCATCGACGGAAGAGCTGAAGAGCTCGAGTTTGCTCCTCATTGTTGCCATTGGACGGGAGGTGTCAAAAAGGTGTCAGTTGAATGAGTTATCGGGTAGCTTGTGAGTAGCATTATAATTCAATACTAAAATGAAACAGAAATATATGTACAATATCATACATGACAGATAGACGAGGAGAAAATCATCTTCGCGCCCTTAGTAGTTAGCATCCTGTTGAATGAGCGCAATGGCGGTTGTAGAACGAGGCTTAATAGAGCACTTGAACGGCTTGGGGTGGCTGGGAGTACGTCTATTAAGGACCAGTACCATGGATACCATGGATGCAATAAGATGCACGACATACCTGATCGTGCCTGATGTATGGTCAACTTCAGGGGTGATCTCAACACCCTTCTCAACGACCTTGGAGATATCAAACACTGCGAGTGACATTGCGGTGGATATCCAGACGGAAGCATCAGCGAGGTGGAGACCTGTCCATGAAAGCAAACGTCAGAATACTGTTTGTTGAGCATGATTTAAGCGTACCGGGGCAGATACTGCAGAGCAGAAAGTTAGCATTGCACTTAAAAATCGATTCCATGCCTACCGTCTACCAAAACCAAAGCAGATCGTGCGAGGTTCGAGTTCAGGATCTTTCCCGTTATTGTCCAAGAAGCGTTCAGGGTTGAATTGCGAGGGGTTACCATATGTCCGCGGGTCATTGAGCATGAACCTGTCTTCCAATTTGGTTGATATGTCGAATACGGAAAACTTAAAGCACTAACCAAATGTTAGGTATTACCAAGGAACCTTTTGGAATGTGGTACCCGTCATAGATATCGTCCTCGGTGACGCGATGGGGGACACCTGTCAATTGAGTAATCGATACCGCTCGGCAATTAAAGAATGCGATAAACGAGATCCACATACCAGTTGGTATGACAACACTCCAGCGGAAGACTTCCTTCACAAGCGCCTCGGTATAAGGGAGGGAGTCGCGATCTGCAAAGGAGGGAAGACGATCAGGACCAACGACAGCGTCTATTTCAGCCTGGGCCTTCTTCTGCACATCAGGGAACAATGTCATAGCAAGGAAAGAAGAGTAGATTGTAGAAACTGTCTGTGGAAACAGGGTGTTAGTTTCAAAATATAGTGATACGAAGGGAGGAGCCAACCGTGTCGGAACCAGCAGCGTATAGGGATGCAGCAGACCACATCACCAAATCATCCTCTTCCGCAGATAAAGTACGGCCCTTCAACAGATTCGAGGTGAAAGACGTCGGGGCAATGCCAGCAGCCTGTGAAACGTTCAACTCGTGATTGCAAAACTATAAATGTTTGTTACCATTTGATCCTTAACGAACTTGTAGGGTGTGACAACCATATCCTCGCGAGTCTTGGACCATTCGCGGGCTAAGCGTTTGAAGCCAGCACCAGGAAACCATTCAGGGACGTTGGCCACTGGAAACAATCAGACGAGTTACAAGCAAAGTTCAGAATCTTATAGTCTTACAGAATGGCATGATGTCAACCATGAAGGCGCCGGGAGCAGTGCACTGCGAGAATTGGTCCACAGCGCGCTCTGCAAGGTCGATAAATGGATCGTTGTTCTCCTTCACCTCATAACCATGAGAAATTCGCAGAATGATAGCGCCAGCGGTACTATAAGAATTCAAGGTCTCATCTACGCAATGGTAAATCATACAACATACTGTCGAACATGAGCTTGGAGTTGTTCGGGGTTCGAAAACACACGCTTCAGGAATCGGCGAGTCTCAATCTCCTCGACCGGGTGGTAGACATTCAAGGCGGCGCGATTGCCCATGATTCTGTGCATATTCTTGCGCTGCTGGCGGAAGCGGTCACCATGTGGAAGAAGAGCCAAGGAGTGTTTCCAGCCAACAAGTTCGCCAGCCATAGGCATAACAGGACGGTCAGAGTACATAGTGCCTTTCTTGTCCAACATGTCCATCGCACTCTTGACTGAATTCAGCGCAATGATGTGCTGACCCAGGACCTCGACATGCGAGATAGCACCTAGAGAGCATGGAATTGGAATGTATCAATTTGGAACAACAGGAGATACTCACCATATTTCTTGCCCCACTCTGCAATGGTGAGCCAAGGCTTAATTTGAGGTATGGCTTGGATGTTCCCAACGAGAGGCCACCCACGGGGACCGGGGGGATATGATGTGGGATTCTTGTTGAACACCTGCTTGACCAGGTATGCTCCAATACCAGCAAGACATAGGTCCAGCCAAGTGACGTTGGGAATCAACATGACCCAGTAGGAGCGAATGAATGAGTAAAGAACAAGGTCGAGTGATAAGATACCAGATAAGTACGCCAGGGCTGCGACACTCTACTAGGTGCTGGGGGCAGAACTATTTGTGGGCAATTGTGCCGGCACAACCGGCAGGAGCGCCACTTGGCAAAACTATCAAAGCGCTACAGGGTTGTGCGTACGACAGTGAAACATCATTAGAAGACACCAGCATGTCCACATCCCACTGTCCGTCGTCGTGTGAGGTTCGTTTCCATCATCCAGCAGCTACATCAATGTTGATGTCTGGCTGAGTGCTGGTGTGCATGTGTGCATGATGTCGATGAATTGACCTGCCATTAGCCGTGGCATGAGTGCTAAACATATCTGAGAAGTAGACTCGTGACCAGCCCCTCTATGAGGCAAACCGTCGATAGTGACGTCGGGAAGGCTGAGTATAGTACCGGGTTTTCTCGTCCTATCCATCCCGCAGTGTTTGGAGTGCGCTAGAGCACGTCTCGAGCGTTAGGCTGCCCCGCGGCAGTTGGAACGAAAGCTGATCACTGCCAGAGACGACGAGCGACGTTACATTGAACACGGTAGTACATGTATGATCGAATAACTTAGCAGACTAAGTCCTAAACAGGGTTTTCCGTCATGTGACGACTCCCAAGCGCGCACTATCCAAATTTAAACCCAGATTTACCATCCGTCTATCGACGGTTTGCCTGTCTAGAAGATGTATCCACGTGCCTGCATGTCATGAGCGAATGTCACTAGATCAACGGCATGTCAACTGAACGTCATTGCAATCGCTTTCGCACAAATGCTACTTACCCTCTGCGTGTTTTGTCATGCTCGCCACCTTCTCGCAGGTCTCGGGTCATAAATATCACACGTGTGCACACCCAAACTGCTTACCTTCATCTAACTCCAAATCACCAGCCCTACATATTGCTCGACATGGATGTCCAGGCTTCAGGCTCATATACGCGAGGCCCAACATGAACTATCGACTACAACTCCGGATCTCGCCGTCCACGATACCCCAGAGCCTTCCTCAAAGAAAGCTTTGATCCTTGCACGTATTCTGGATGCACAAAGTCCTACTCTCAAGCTTGTAGGCTAGCAGAGCACATGAGATCCCATACAGGAGAGGCGACGTGGTCTGGTGTGCCGTTTTACGCACACTGTTTACTAATCAGCCTTTTTTTTGGATGCTCGTTTATTGTCCTGCGGTGCGGAGCCCTGTGGTGGACACTACCTACAATATCGTGCTTTGCTAAATATGTATCTAATTTCTGCTGTATTGGCGCTATGCAATGATCCGTGCGAGTGCAGGGACGGTGGTGCCGTCTTAAGGCGTTGAATTAGTATGTTCCAAATTGGGTGCGCTCCTCCTCTCCTTTAGCCGCTTCCCTTCCTCTCTTTCTCGTTCCTTCATTCCTTCTCCTTGGGGGAGGTAACGTCTCCGACGACCTGTTCCATTCTCCTAGTGCGTGTGATGTATTTGAGTGTTGCTCTGATTCCTTTGCCCTCGCTTAGATATGAAGCTGGCGCGGTCCTACTTCCATGCTGAGGGTGTTGCGTTGTCTGGCCAATTTGGGGTAAACCAACAAGAAATGGTGGTCGGTTTCTTCGTGAACTCGGTTTTCCTGGCATACTGCTGATGGCGCTCTGGCTATGTTCAGCTAATCAGCTCAAAACAGTGTCCCTGCATCTGCACACTTGTCAAAAGTCTTATCTGCGGGAATCCTATCTTTTCAAACACATGCAAAAAGTCATATTCCCGAGTCAGAACGCCCTTATGTATGTACGGAATCAGCGACCTGCCAGAAACGGATCTGGACCCTCCAGCACCTCCATGTGCACGAGAATACGCACGGCGGGGTCAAACCGTATGTTGTGTGCTATCTCCACTATCCAAGCCATTCACACTAATGTTGTGTTCTCAGTGCACGGTAGAGGGTTGCGACGAGGTGTTTACCAAGCATCATCAGCTGCGATCTCACACCTGCCAAGCACGCGCACACCCAGGTACGAAACCTTACATGTGCACACACTCAGGATGCACCAAATCGTTCGATACGAACCAAAAAATTAAAGGTCACGTTAAAACTCCTGACGGCTCGTGCACCTTCACGTCCGTGCGCATGATGATTCATCATTCAGATAAACGTCACATGTGTGCACACCCAAATTGCTTACCTGTATTCAACACTGATACTACATATTACCCGACAAGGACGTCCCTCAGGCTCATGTACATTAGGCCCACCCTCCAATATGCATGCATCCCTCATGCAACGGACAAACCTTCGCTTTTCAGCACAATCTGCGAGTTCATCAGAATTTACACTAACAACAAGAGTTAGAAGCCGTTCTCGCAGACGTAGAACCATCAGAAGCAACAGACTTGTGTTGCAAACGTAGACGCGGCGGAGAAGTGGGCAAAGACTGTAAATGCGACGAATGCGGGAAAGAATTCAAATATGTACGATCGTCGACGGATGTTTGTTTTCAATCAATTCTAACGCCATGTACAGATGAATGCCCTCACGACGCACAACGTGATTCATCTAGGCCACAGAAATCATGTCTGCCCACATTAACGAGTCAGATAGCGCTACAACCACCAACACTGATACTAATTATCCGGACAATGAACTGGCAGACTCAGCAGCGCACTTAAGAATCGATCGCATCACCTGTAGTTGGGCTACTGGGCAGACGGCGCTAGCAGGCGCGCTGGTTTTTTTTTCGTCATTTTTCGCTCTGCATCGTGTCTCTTCTGTATCAATGTATATCCCTGTGTAGCATTACCTATCATCCAATTCATGTGTTTCACTGTCTATCAATGTGGCTCAACTGCGAATGTAAAAACTACCTGGAATATTAATGAGATCGAACGCGCATCGATCTGTATCGATAAAATCGACAGTCTCCTTTCTCACGATATACATTGACCTCTATTGACTTAGAGAAAATTAGAACGATTGGTTGGGTAGCAAGTTAATCTTACCCTTCTTTTTTGGCTTCTCTACGTCCTCGCCTTCCACAACCGCTTCTCGTTTTTCCTGTGTCATGACTTTCCGCACAATTGTCTCCCACATCACGTCGTTAATCCCCTTCGCCTTCCAAAGTTGTTCTCGCAAGTTCTCTACCTCAACTTCAAGTCTAGCAACGCGTGCACTCGATGCTTCCGAGGTGCTAATCGCGTCCGGTTGCACGAAAAACGCGTAATCTCGTTGGAATTCGGCTTCGGGGTAATCGTAAGCGCTTGGTATGCCTCCAGGGGTCTTATGGGGGCGAATATCAACATAAGCAGAGTACCCATTACAGCAGAAGAAAAATGTACCTCGTCCTGCACGGGAAGCATCATTGTCACTTCAGTGCGCCTCCCTTAACTTTGAATCTTTTATGCGGTGGAACGGCACGACAGGGCGCATAGGAATGATATCTTTCGCATCGGCGGAACTTCCAAGACCGAGGGACAGGCTGATGTGTCCGACAAGGTCAGGCGGTTTGAGCATGGTCGCGAGATGGGATATTGACATGCCCTTGTGCGTCGAGATGATCCGAAGGAGCTGGTGGGAGGCAATGTCGTAGATGTGGATGAGCCCCGTGGAAGTGCCCACAAGAAGAAGCGAGCTGGTGAGGGAGATGATGAGAACTGTTATTGGTTGGCTGTGTTCGAGACCCGTCAGGTAGCTATCCGCATCAAGGAACGTAGAAGAAAGTCGTACCCGACTGTTATGAGACACTTTCGACTATTGCTGTCCTCGTCGGCGACACGGATGAGATCACTGACGCCTGCGCCTCCGACAGCTTCGATTGTCTGACCAGCGTGTTTTTCGGTTCGCTGGCGGAAAAGGTTGACTTGGTATATGGAGCCATCCAGTGAAGCAGCGAAAAATAAGTGTTCGGTAATATCCCAAACCATTGATGATATGGGTTTAGGGAAGTAGAAGGTAGTCAACAGCGACTGAGAAGACAGATCCCAGAGCTGTATATCGAAGGTGAACAAAAAGTAGCCGTAGCTAGAAAGACCACCTTGACAGTATGATCGAGGGACGCGGTGAGCACGCGACAAGTAGGGAATGCGCCGAGGCCGCAAACGATGTCTTTTACTGGTAAGGTGTGATCTGATAGCGTGCAATATGGGGTCGGAAGCTCGTTTTGCGTGTCTTCATCGACGATTCTACATTGCTGTCAACAGTGCAACAGCGACAAAAAAAAATCGAAACAGACCTTGCCACGGACCAAATGCTAACACCAGAATCTTCACTACCTGAAATAAGAGCAGCACCGTCATGGGTGAATGTGAGGACATTGATGCGGCGATAGTGGGCGTCCCAGGAGTTGTACAAGATGCCTGATGCGACCTGCCATCAAAATTCGAGTCGAGACCTGACATATTATATCTTGTGATGCGCCTCCCAGAGATATATTCGGCCTTGGGTCGTCCCTCCCGCGCAGAAAGTTCCCGAATTATCCACCGTGAGGCACGAAGGCCTTTCAGGAAGGATTATTTTAAAGGCGAGTTGGTGCTAAGACACATTAAGAACGGTGAAGGCTGTATTAGAAACACAATACCTACTTTTTGGAAGTTGTAGACGTTTAGGATTGATTTCTCGTGCTGTGCCGCAAGTATGAATCCTCCTTGGCCATCGCGCGTTTCGACGAATGATATGCAGTGTGGTCCAGAATTTGATTGTTTGAAGGAAGCAAGCGAGGTACCGGTCTGGACGTCATGTAGAACGATTGCGCCTGAACCAGAGCTAGAGGCCTGGGGTGCAGCAGCACATAAGACGACTTCCTGCATGAGATCGATGTCCCCCGGAAAAGGCAAATATCACTCATGAAAGTTCGGAGGCAATGGAATCATAGCTGCCGCGAATTGAACGGTTCATTTGAACCAGATCGAAACGAGGTCGTATACAGCCATCAGTCTTTTTTGTTGGAAGTTACGTGTGATATCGGTAGCCCCGTCACAGTTCACTCCTCAACTCCTCTGCAAAAAAAATCAGGTATAAATGACAATGACATAGTACTGGAAGACTCCTCTCATGTGTTCAAGTCAATACCCGCGCAGACTCCGCAGAGAGCGTGAGGACCGAATTACAACATACGCTTTCTGCGTGAAAAGTGACCGAATTAAGGCAGCAAAAAATGATTCGGATACCGGGAGTCGAACCCGGGGCCGCTGTGTGAAAGACAGCAATGTTAACCGTTACACCATATCCGACTTGTTAGAGGTCTCCAGCGTTGCATTGACATTGCGCTAGCGCACCCCCAGCGCGTCTGAAGCAAAGACTTAACCTTGATACTATAGTATCAATGCACACCCAATCAAAAATAAATAAACGCGCTTGGCATTTACTTCAATTGTAAGACGATACATAACATACACAAAAGCAACCTCCTCCCACCCCTTCCCCGTACACGCTCACCACATAAACCCAACAAGTTAAGTTCCATCAACAAACTGTTGGTTTGGCGTTACATCGCTGGAAGACCGGAATCAGCTACCCATGAATAAGTCCATCCTGATTCTCTCCCTCTAGCTTTAAGAAACTACAGCCGCAAGACGCCAAGAATAAGATTCTATACCGTGTTGTGTTCTTGGTTCTCTTGACCCAGGCTTGAAGACTGTTGTGACTGTGGTGAGAAGAAATAGGCCCGAGGAAAGGCGGGGAGCGGAGTAGTCGCTGCGATATATAAGTTATCTCTCCTCCTTCTATGGTATAGAATCCAGGTGAGATCGAGCGGACAAGATGAAGATGACATGTGAATAAGACGGAAAAGACGGACAGGCGTTGCAGGGAGCGATGCAGGAGAGGAATAAGAACGGCAAGGAAGGAAGATGTTGGAGGTGCGATATGGAGCGGAAAGGGAGATGCGCTAGTGTGCAGGAGGCGAACTATATTGCACCCTTGATCCCAACTTTGCGGTATTTGTCCTCGTAAACCTGTGCCAACTGTGGTGCGGCAGATTTACACTCAACCGTCTTGTCCCGATCGGGGGCGTTCGGGTTGGTGAAAAAGGCGGAACCATGTGTTTCTATGAACTTGAGTGTGTCTGACACTGTTTCAAAGCCGAGCTCATTCTGGATGAAGCACACTGTTATTGTGCGGTATCTGATGGAGATGAGTAAGATAAGGTTATCTTTATATGGAGACAATGGACACTCACGCTTTTGTCATAGTCATCAGTGCCCTGGTCCTCTCCCGATCAATGAAATAATCCATAATATACGCCCCCATGTTTGGTGCATTCAAATACATTTCAAACAAGGCATGGTAGTTGCCCATGGAGATAGCGCGCTGGACCCGAAGTGCATGCAGCACTGCGGGATCCCTTTTCTGTCGTGGTGTCAGCGTACCTACGTAGAGATTAAGCTCTACGCAGTGAAGCGGGAATACAAGTATGAGTCATATCCTGAACTGACAAAAGGGGAAGAAGGGGCACACCGCTTTTATTCCGTCCATGCAAGAGCATGAGAATGCGATAGGCAGTAAATTCTTCGTGTTTGCCTGGTATGCCGAGGTCGTATAAATTCTTAAGTGTTGCCTGACATTGGTTATATTCTACCATGTCCGACTGCAGCAGCAGATCAGCTGTAAGCCGCATATGAAATCCAGCACCTACGCTTTCAAGTGCCATACGTGCGTGGATCTCGTATACCTGTACTGTAAACTCATTTTTTATCCGTTGCACCTACCAAGAGGGGCACGTGTCAACATGAAATATATAAGTGATGGATAACGCACGGTGAGATCTTGCCGCAGGCTCTTGAACTGATTACATATCCAGTTGTATGACACCTTTTCCTTCCAGCGTTTCTTGAGTTCAATGAGTGTCTGTTGTAGAACCGAGTACGGGCGAATTGTCTCTGATTTTGGCTCCTGTGCGACAGTCAGAAAGGGAAAAATGATTGTATCGAGTGATGTCATACTGAGGTAAGACGCAGATAATCCTTAAATAACTCCTGGTTCGTCCCGACGATTGTATACTTATCCCAGTCTAGCACGTTCTAAGGAATAACATAAGCATTCTCGTTGACTGCGAGAGAAAATGGACGAACGGGATCGCCTCAGGATCGTCAGCATTAGTACCAAAGGCGCTTGGCGAATCGGAACGCGATATCCGGTTGAAGAGGTGAGCATTCTGATTATTAGCCTGGAGAGAGGCCTGACCGCGCATACTCTTCTGTCGCTCTATATCATGTTCCCGCTGAAAACGTTCGGCTCGGCGATTAAGAGCCGCCTGATCCCCGAAGTCGAGGTTGGCATCATTGCGCTTCTGCGCCGCAGCTTTCTTCGCTTTCTTGCTCATAGGTGGAGTATCATTCCTATAGAGCATCAGTGGGCCATGGCAACCCTAGAAACGTGTGACACCGACATTTTGCGTTTGAGGGAGTTGAGCACCGGGGGAGCTTTGGGCATCAGACTGGATATTGCAAGTCACTGAAATCTGTAACTCAGCGTGCGACGAACTCAGACCGCACCTTTTTAATTGTACACCAGCCCAGTCGGTTGTCCATAGAGTCTTTTCAGCGAAAGCGTTAGCAATTGACTCTCTCAGCTCAGCCTGAGCCTCTGCCCTATTAGCATCTGTCATTTGCCCCAGACATCGTGCTACCCATTCTCTGATCCACCGACCTCAGCTTCACTAGCTTAAAGTGAAAAGATGGGCGCTTACTTAAGTGGTGGAGGCCATGACTCGGACGACATGGTGATTTAGTGATAGACTTTTGGTGTGCTTTATACTCCAATATTTGGGTGAGGGCTGTCGTTGGTAGTGGCGTGTGATATAAATCGGTGAAAGGAAAGTTTGAGCAGGTTGCGAGAAGAAAGGATCACAATCCTAAACGAAGTAGCCAGCATGTCCATCCCGAGTTTCCCACGGTCGTCGATAGTACAGCGTCTTTCTCATATGCCTTCGCGCGCTCAGAGACCTCGGTAAGGCAGGAAAGTTCACACACAAAAACTCTCGCGATTGAAAAGTAGTCTCATTAGAAGATGCAACAAAAATGGTAGCATCTGATGGCCGTAAGAGTCTATGGGATACTTGACCCGACCTATGTACACAAGCTCTCTAATGGTTCAAATCCTTAGGCGGGTTGTAGACTATGAATTCGCTATCAAAACCTGCTAGCAGCATCAATGAGGTTAAGAACTTACAGATTTTCCTGTTCTTGATCACAGTCCACTTGAACCGCTTCACCCCGATGGAGACAGCGAATAGCGCAGAGAAAAGGATAACAGCTTTGATACCCATCTTCTTCCGCTCATCGTGCTCGGGCTCGGCTGCCCAGTTTAAGAAGGTGACAACATCCTTGGCCATCTGAGAGGTTGTGGCAGGGGTACCTATCACGACCTTCAATACAGGGCCAGCCCAGCTTACCAAAGAAGAACGTACCATCGTCATACTCGACGAGATTGTCCCACAGGACACGCGCCATGGAGATGGCACCACCAGGGAAGTAAGGGTTGTAGTTCATTCCCTCGCGAATTTCAACACCAGCAGGAGGGTCGATATAACCCGTCAGTAGGGAGAACACGTAATCCTGGTTGACGAAGCGACACATGAGCGAATTTCCTCATTGTAACGACAATTCAAACCACTTACCGCACCACCATGACGAGCCTTGATGATTAAGCTTAGGTCGGGAGGAAGGGCACCACCGTTACCGGCCCGAGCAGCCTCTTCATTGGGGTATGGGGAAGGGATGTAGTCGGAGAGCTTTCCGGGACGCTGGAACATCTCGCCTTTATCATCTGGGCCGTCCGTGTACTCTACGTCCTCAGCGAGTAAACGCGTTTCGTCGGCACCATGAGACACGCCAACAAGGTTGCGCCAGGCAATGCGGTCGAGCGAGTGACACGCGGCACAAACCTCACGATAGACCTGGAACCCGCGACGGATGCTGGGGTACGAGTGTCATAGAAGAAACTTCACGGTAGTTAACGCGGACATACCTAGAGTGGTCAAAGCTGTCGAATAAGCCCTTGTGGGACCAAGGATATGCAGCAGGATGGAGACCGTCGTCGGCTAGCGAATTTGCATGCACCTCGCCAATGAAGGGGAGGGAGCCGTATATATGGGTATACCATGCTATCGAGCCGGCAGAGAACAGGGTAGCGGAAATGAGTGACGCGCGAGATGTGAACAACGACTGCAGTTAAAAACGAGTGGGTTCTTTGAGAAACATTCCAAGACGCATAGAGAACGAACCTCAAGTGTAGCTGAGGACGCTGAACTGGATGAAGTAAATCGGACCTGCTGTCGGAGGTTGAGCAGGCAAACTTCGGGTTAGTTTTTGAGAAGTAGAACTGACCGACGTAGCGCGCGTCCTGAAGGCACTGAAGGTAGAACGAGATGCGCCCAGTGCAGACTGGTTCTTGAGCGCGGCCACGGGCAGCCTCGACAACATTTTGGTTTCAAGTCCTCAAGATTTTCGAGAAGCGGAAAGGCTTGAAGTGGTGACACTGCCAATGTCACGCATCACACATATCAGTCACGGAACGAACCGGAGGCTAGCCAGCAATACCGTAGTTCCCGATCCTCCAATACAATCACCTGGATTTCACAGCCTTTCGCGCCTTTCTCCAAACATGCAAAAATTGGGAAGCTTAAGGGTTATATATATGATATATATCTTTGACGAATAATTTTACAAAAAAATCACAATGTCGCAGGCACAAGTCATTCAAACACGATACTATTACGAAGTACGGTATCGTAGTCCAACGAATAGAAATCAGGATGACTGATGATCAAATCGTAAAAGAGAGAAAGTAAAGGTTCGTCACGGTGTCCATTGTAATATAAAGACATCCGGCCAGCATATACGACGTGATCGTGAGCAGTTTCTCATCAACTGGGTAATATTGCACGTGCCAGCGGACAGTAGCCTCTGATGCAATTCCCAAGTCTTACAATAGACAGTCGCAAAGTGCCTCTGTTGGGGTGAAATTTTAGTATGCCGTTGATTTGCCAAGAGTTCGGAAAACACCCACCCTCAGCACAGCAGCAAAGACATGCACCAGCAAGACAAGCCAAGCAACCAGTGCCCCCACCAGCACCACTGGACTGAGCGGGTTGTTGTCTGCGAAAATTTTCAGCCTCATGTTAGGGCGCAGTTCAGGCGCATGCAGGGTTAAGTGAGGATACTGACACGTAAACTGTCTGTGGTGGCGGCTGAGGTTGGTACCCGGGTCCGCCATAAGGTTGACCGTAAGGCTGGCCTCCGTACGATTGTTGGGGTTGTTGAGGGTAGTAACCCCCCTGTCCTGGCGGTGGACCTATAGTCCTTGAATCAGGTTTCAAACATCAAAACATCATAAGATGTGACCAACCTTGAGGCGGGTAGTATTGTTGTTGCTGGCCGCCGCCGTAGTAATCCTTGTTGGCCATCTTTCAATAGAGGAAACCGTTAATTAACGTTGACAATGAGAAGGAGAGAGTATGTGGAACCCGTTGTCGCTTTGCACAGACTTATCTCGTGCACTTTTCTCACGCTGCACGAGGCATGTCATGGCGGTGTCCAACTCCCATGGCCGCAGCGGTACAAATGTTAATGGCCCGCAGCATGCATGGCCACCGGCTGGCCTGTGCAGCAAAGCCATAATCCGACCGCAGTCGCATGTGAGCAAAAATAACTTATGAACTACCAATCTTATTATTTGCTACGCATTGCAGCTACTGGGTCTCCGAGCAATGTCACGGTGTGATCGATCATCACCACTGCGGCGCCGTCTAACCATCGCTGGACCGGAAATGAATCCCTGCAGGCGTACTAGAATATTTGGATGATCTCTCTCATCGTCGGCCGCAGTTATACTTTAGGCGAAATTTCACCATCACATGGTGGCATTAGATCGACGATGACACTGAGGCGCTCGACCTGTCAATGACTCAACGTTACGGGTTAATTGTCATGCAGACGCCCTTCGCTTACTTTATCACTGGTCATTACCTCACCAAGACATTGAACAGTGCAGCATGCAAACTCTAATTGAATAATCTAACTTATCTCTTCAACGTGTGTTGCAATTATAGCCAGATGATATATGCAGTCAGCAGGTCAAGAGCATGCAGCGACAAGAAATAGCAGAGACAGGTGTTAGTGTGGAAAGGTCGAATGAGTGCACCGACTATGATATACAGCGGAAAGCGAAAACTAAAAAAAAATGCGAAGGTTGTGCGAAGGTGACTAACATGCATCGGAAAGTCCGAACGCAAATTCTAGGGTCTAAGGACCGTTTGGCGTGAAAGCATGGATTCGTGCGCCCTGTCTCAGGAAGCTTTGCGTTAAGCGTGTAATGGCTGTTTTGGAAAGGGTCGGTGCCAGCATCAGTAAGAAAGATCAACAATAAAGCCAGATCCTTACGCGGTGCGACGTAATTTTCATGGGCATAGACATCAAATGACCGTGTGCGAGTCTGTGCAAGCACAGTCCCCTGAGATGCAATACTCATAGCACCAGAAGCATTGGTCCTGTGAATATGAGAAATGAATGAATTCAGTCATACGGTCACCCGCCTCATTCCTGCTTCACGTACTCTGATATCCGCAATAGAGAAATCCCGAGCTGGAAGCGGCCGCGCCAACGTATACTCGCGTCGGGGAACAGAAAATATAATCCAAGACGGCCCTGAAGGTCGCGCAGTTTCTGAGGTGACGAAACTAGGTTTCCGTAAAGCAAGCGCCGCGGAGGTGCCTCTCCGTTTGGTGAGGTGCCCATGTCCAACGGCCGTGAGCCATCATCCGTGAACAGGGACAAGTGGGCGATCAAGAATGGTAGCTCCATCTCACTGTCGGCAAAATATATTCGTGTACGCTAACCTTGTGAGGTGCTAACGAGACTTACGGAATAATGGAATTCCCAAAGCGATCGCGTACGGTGAGCTGCACGACTACTGGCGGAGCTAGTGGCAAACGGGAGAGACTAGCGGAACCAAATTCCGCGGTCCTTTGGGGATGTTGCACGACATCAAGGTGGTATGACCTAGCTTACCAATTCATCAACGCGAGAAAGATCAACATACTACAAATAACTTGCCTCGTTTGACCATCGTTTAGGAATGAGGAATGTTGGACCCGAGATTGACTCGAAATATACGGATTAGACATGGATGGACTAGCGCGATCGGTGGAAGAAGCCTGGTTCCAAGCAGTACCCTGCTGGCTAGATGATTCTGACTGAGATGGCATACTCCAGGATGACGGAGGCGACTGCGTGTTCGAATGGTCGCTTGCAGCGACGGACCTCGGTGAACCCTGAGGGCTTTCCCAGGGCAATTCGTGAAAGAGCTTCTTGTAGCTGCTGGGCATCAAGTGTAGTTTGCTCAGCAAGCCGGAACTCTAGGAAAAATGAACCACATACGATGATATGCACTTCACGGGTGTGATAGGCGTTACCGGACGTATTTGATGCGTACGCTGAGACATTTATGATGGCGGGAAGTGAGCTAGGCTCCGATGTGTGCGTGAGGATAGACAGCAAGCAAGCACTCACTGCATCATCTCCTTCGACACTGAGGCGCGTGCGCGACACATGGTCAACATCGTGAGCGTGATAATTCAACGACTTGTAGGGAGAGCTCAAACCATTCTTGGCTGACACCTTTTCCCATGAGTATTGCCTGGACCAGTAGGAGTCAATAGGGCAAGTATGCATATGTCACGAGATATTTGCCTGGGAGACAAGGCGCACACTGAGCCTACAGGAAGATTAATCGATGCTCCAGAGCATAGGAGCTTGGAATTTATCCATTTCGTTTGTAGGCGATCATATCATATAATACCTATTTCTAGGGAGCGGAGCTCGGGGTCAGAGGAAGACTGAAAGGTATCAGAATTCTGAATCTCAGTACCCAAAAAGTTTGACACTGACAGATCTGAAGGCGACCGATATAGGGTCCCAAATCTGTTCGGAGCAGTATTTGGGAAGCTGAAGGCACGTCTTCTTTGGATCTCGCGCAGTAGTGATCTAAACAGGCCTGAACGACCGGCCGAGGTTCTGTAAATCCCATTGGGACGCTTACATGTCAAAATAAATCTCACATAGGTAAGCAAATATTAGGAAGGTATATGTTACTGGAGTCTATCATACGCTCTTTTTCACGTAGCTCCAAATCCCTGCCACTCCCGAGATCACTGATGCTGCTGCAAGAGCGGGTTTTACTCCGGCTAATGGAGAAAGTTTTTTTTCATATCAGAAAACGTAAACTGGGGAAAACCATTTGTACCTGTCGACTTGTAGAGGGCGCCTGTTAATGCACCCGCAGCCATACTACCAGCTGTGTCATGTTTTCCGCGAAAAGAGTCAATGGTGGAGTTGATTCCGTTATAGACGAGGGCTGTGAGTCATGAAAAATTAGTGACATACCCTGACAGGAAAGGCGAACTCACCAAGTACACCAGCCGAGTTACCTATGAACGTTCCTCTTCGCGTGACAGAATTGAGAACGCTATTGATCCGGAGGCGGTTATTTGATACGGCTAGTGGTCTTCGAGCGCCTTCACTCACACCCCAAAAGCCACCCAATGCCAGACCTTGAGGAAAGATGGATGAGCATGTGACAAGCGAAAACAATAAGAATGGCCGAAGTTGGAGATGACAGCAATACGATAAGGTGAGAGAAGATGGAATGAGAGAGGGCACGAGCCGTAGACGTACAAACTCGTGTAAAACTCGTGTTAGGGAGCCGAAAGAGGGAAGACCTACCGCTGAGATACATTGTGCCAGTTCCGTAGCACAAATCATCACTCCAACCTCGAGAAGGAATGGCAGTGCCAGCCCCTGGCAACTCGCTCGTCTTATCATCATCTAGTACAAGATAGTCTAATTGATCCCCAAGTTGAGCTAGTGGATGTAATTTGGCTGGGTCGTATGCACCCAGGAGCAAGTCGTTAGCTGTTACAGCATTCTCCACAGACACTGCTGGTCCATCACGCGAGAAAGTGGCCGACCGCAAAAAAGATGTTGGATCTTGTGAGCCGGAGGCCGAGTTTTGAGCGTCACTTGAAGACATGCTTAAGAACAAGTAGCTTTGGTAGCGAATGAGAGCAACGAGCGGACAGCCGACGAAATTTTGGAACGGCGCGAGGGTGCGTGTGAATAAATTACCCAAAGTACCACCAACTTGGGTCTTCTCCAAACGTACTTACCGCTTTAAACTTGAACAATTAGAAAAATGCCCTTTGCAACCGCAAGCACACGCACCCTCTCAAGACTTGCTAGCTTCTCTTTGAGGACAAATGCGTCCTTCAAATCGAGCCGAACTCCCTGTTCAAGGGTTTTAGTACACATGACAGGCCACGAAGCACTTGTCATTGCCACAGCGCGTTCCGGCTATGCGTTCCGTCGCAAATGTGCGGGTGAATCATGGAACAATATATTCAAAAGTCAGCACCGCATTTTCTACTTTCGTCTGGCGTTAAAATGGTATTTTTCAAGGATGGGCAACTTCCACTACACTGCATTCAACGGCATCAGATCCTGCAGAGATGGAAGCCATGCAATGTCTAGAACAGGGGACCCAGAAGCTAGAGGAGGGTGACATTCAAGGCGCCAAAGAACTTTACAATCGTAGTGTCGAAATCAAGCGTAATGCTAGCTCTCTGTTCAACTTGGGTGTCACGCATTATCACCTGAGTTTGTCCAACTCATCTCCACAAATTTCAGGGTGCTGAGTAATTTATTCTTAGAGGAGTTTGACAACGCTATTGCGGCTTGGAAGGAGTCAATAGCACTGCAACCCGCTAGTGCCGATGCTCACACAAGTGCGTGCCTCATATTAAGAGCCGTAAATCTGGATGACGACATTGTATTCGAAAGACCTTGCAAGCGCATACATAATATCCCCTGTTGCACGTCCTGACCTTGCTTTGCATCATCTCCAGCACGTAAACTGCTTAGAGCTTCCTTATCGGTTCGTTGACTATTGTGTTCCAGTATTGCGGCTTCCCTCTCACCGGAAGACCCTGAGATCGCCTTCAATCTTGCCGCAGTTTTGGAAGCCAGTGAGTAAATTATGACATGGCTTATTGTTCCTAAAATTAACTTCCGTTCCTTGTGAAGCCGGGCAGCTCGAAGAGTCTCTGAAGCAGTATAAACGTGCCAAAGAATACGGCGTCGAGCGTGCCGCAATGCATATTAGGAACGTCAGTAGTTCAAATCTCGATCGTCATTTTCAAATCTCATATATCACTGCTTCAACTGCAGGTGAGCGCAAAGATTCTGGGTAAGACCATAAAAATCGCGGAAAGCACGGACAACACGGACAGCTCAGCAAAAAAATCAGATTCATGATGCCGATTCCCAGGCGGGTTTCGTCGCATCAGAAAGAGTGGTCTCCGGTCACTTGAAAATTTAACACTAGGCTATCTGCGAAGTACTTGTCTCGTTGTTTAGTCTCGCTTTAGACAAGATCCATCCTGCCAAGGAACCCGGCTCTGGATTACTTTGAAGGCAGTATTTTATATTCATGAACCTAATAATGCGAAGTTGCAAATTATCTGACCCAGGGTTTGAAGTTCGTACAATCTCCATGGAATCCTTAGGAATGCCAGTACCTGCCCGCACTCCTCGGACTGCTCCATGGGAGTCGAGACGTACTCTATCAACATCCTTGAGCAAATACGTTTCTGAATTTACAGCTCTCCTGATTTCTCCGCGGTCATCGCTCCCCTTCTAGAATAGGACTTGGGAAGTCTACTGGACGGAAAGCGGTGGCCCCTGCCACCGCGACGAGCTCCGTACCCGCGACCTTGTGTCTGAATGAAGGCTGAGCTTGTGGAAACGAAGGAAGCCTGCATAGGAGGCTCAATGTTTCCCCGTTTGAAATATGTAGAAGAAGCTTGGAGCCGTTGTAATATCAAACCAATGTCTTCGCTCGTATACTCGGGACGAGGGTGGTCCGAAGGCTTTAAGTAAAGAATGTGATCATGCCCTTCGTTGGGTTGCGGGAACTGAAGGTCTGACGCAAACCTAGCCAGAATAGATTGACCTTGTTGAGGGTCTTTAATGGTCGGATGTGAACTTCCTATGGGACATTGATACCATCATCGATCTCTGCAATAAATAATCTACAAACAAGTTCACGTACGTTCCTGAAGACGGGTGGAGCAGACCTGGATGCAAATGCAGTGCATGATAAAGCTACGATTAGCTTTGATTCCTTCTCGTGAATCTCAACGAACCTGATAGGGGGTATCGAAAACAATAACGCTGATCGAAGTACCAGGAAACTGGCGAGCGATATTAATCCAGTGGGATCGCTGTCTGTGGGTGATGACATTTTCGTGGATCGGTCGTAATATCAGCTTCTTCAACCTGCATACAACGTGATAGAAAGAGGCTTACATCACATCAAAATTGCACCTGTCAATACAAGGCGATAAGCCTTCGCGGAGCGTGCGGTGAGCTAAACTCTCGACGCGCTGTCTCGTCCCAAGCTCATCTTGATTACATCTGCGAAATTGCGGAAAGTGACGTTCGAGTGCCTGAGCAAATGTAGACTACAAGAAACGCGTCGGCCATCTCTCCGGACCACCATTGAGCCCAAAATGAAATGCAATTACCTTTCCTGATGCCACCAGTCCAACAAGGATGAGCACCATCCGTGTGCCAGCGAACGGTGCCAGATCTTGCAAGGTCATATGTTGTTCCATCCTATCTGTAACGCCAAGAATTAAAGCTACCAAGTTCAAGGAGGCGACGAACAAATAGTTGACAACTTGACTCCAAGCTGTGACTGTGATTCAAAATTAACTCACACGGAAGCCGCTACCGAACCTGCTACAACCTAACTCAAAAATAATTTTATAGAGTGAAATTCACGGTTCAAATCTTTGCCACCCTACACTCCTTGACCAACAACTCCTGGAGGTCCAAACAAAAATCTAACAGTCCCTTGATTTCTGCCTAGCATGGCAATATCATTCCCATTATATAGCTCGCTTGGATCAGCACTCCCGAGAGGTTGCTGTGGCCGCAGCGGGTGTTCATTTTGCCGCATCATAATCTTAAGACGGATGAGCTGATCTGCTTTGTATGGAATTGGTGGAGGTTGCGGGGTGCCACTGGATGACAAATGCTGATTTCGTGGGGACGGGTGTGGGGAAGGTGATGCCGGAGTGCGTGGAGACGTATTGGCCGACGGATTTTGCGCGGCTTGTATGAGTAGGTCGATAAGTACATGCGCAATTTCTGTGGGAGGTGGCAATCAGTTGGGGAACACAATTAGAGAAGTTCCCGACCTTCCAAGTCCTCGGCTTCAGCCATGTAAGTCCGCTCCCAATCGCCTTTTTCCTTTAAAATGGTTGCTACCCGCGAGTCTAATTGTGCCTCTACAAGGGGAGATGGCGGCGGCTCAAGGGTCGTCAATAAGGAGGCAGTATAGAGACATCCTAATGCGACAGTGTTCGGTGGATACATGATCGGTACCAATGTCCTGTGGCTGTCATATTGCTCAGATATGAGCATAAGGTATAAAAGATATGACACACCTGTCAATGGTGAGTCGCCATGCACATTTAATCAACTTCTTTGATGCTAAGTATGCAGAAGGTTGAATATACAAATACAGAGAGCATTGAATAGAGTAGAAGCACCTTTGAGCTTCCTCCCAATTTTGATCACATACGAAAACGGCATTTTGCTGGTGAAATTGAAGCATATTGTCTCTAATATCAGTCGCTCCACAGCCAGGAGTCTCTGGCGGTCGTTCTCAGCCGTCTAAATGCACCATGTCAGGATAAGAACACCTATAATTCATAGATTGTCACCCACCGCGGGATCCATATCAACTTCTCCGCCGACGGACTTCGACTTGGCTGCAAGCTCTGGGAATCGCACGGCATACGAGACCATGAGGATCTCCCGAGGCTTTTTCAGCGTGTCATGCATCTTAGTGGAGACGTACAGAGCTGCCAGAGTAACATCGTGATAGTTGAAGTCTTTTCGAGGAAAGAACAAGTGAAACCGGTGGTACAGATTCTGGGCAGTAGCTAAAGTCTTCCTAGGACTGTCCTTTGCCGTCAACGCCAGGATCCATTTCTTTGTAGGCAAAAACGCACAAGCCAATCTTTGAGCCCACGGCTTCTATAAATCCGCATGCTTGCTGTCTTGCTTTCTCCTCTTGCGTGGCAGACAGCTTTCCACGTTGTTTCTCGGATAGGTATTGTACCTCAGCTGACGTGAAGTAAGGATGGTGATATTTAGAGAATGAAGCCGGCAGCTGCGATGGCGATGGAACCCTGGAATGTCCTGTATCCATGTGTAGTCGAGATATAGACGATATAAACGAATATTCTTGAATGCTGCAGCGCTGAAGCTTGTCACTGTCAGGTGAAGATCGAAAGTGACTTTGAGGCACGTGAGAGACGCGTTAATAATTTAATATGACCAAATATAGTCAAATATTAAAATATTAATACAGCATGTGCAGTGTGCGTGCCCTTGCGTGCGGCAGCGTGTCCCATCAATCACACTGGCAAGTTGCGATAAGTATATGACTTAAGGACCTCACTATGGATTCGGTGCAACAAAGCGATCACCTGCAGAGCCCTGTCAAAATCTATGACAATTCAAAATGTAGGTATTATTCAAGGTATATGCACGAATAAAAATTACTGAGTCATCTTGGAGCCAGAAGCAGGTTGATGCCTGTGAAATCCAGACCGTCCGTATTCTAAAAAGTAGGTATCTCCAACGATGATTCACCAAAGAACAAAGTCCAGTCATCATGGTTGGTTAGGAACGACCCGATTAGCAAGCCGATTGTTTTAGCAAGCAGGCACAGTCAGCGGAATTTTCACAGTTGTCTACAAAAAGACGTCATGCTCATGAAACATCTGAAACTCAAGCGGGCTTACAGCAAGACCCTACATTCGGCGTTGAGTGAGAAAAATATGTTGGAGATGAATTGGTGACATACGGATAGACTGGTTTCTTTGTATTTGACGCTCATATCAGCCGCGGTGAGGCGCATTGCCTCGATTGCCTCGTCCAAGGTTACACGGTATACACCGGTGCTAGCCATGGAAAGCTGAGCTGCGGTCACGGCTTTCACAGCTACATTTCGCAGTCTCTTATCAATAAACAGTATCATCGGATGGAGAAACACGGACGCACCACCTAGGCTATTTCGTTCCTGTGGGGTTAGATGAGTAGATGAGCTTCAGGGTACTCTCGCAATAGCTTACAATACAAGGCACCTGGACCAGCCCGTCGATGGGGTCACAAGTTAATCCCAGATTATGCTCTGCAGACCATAAACAAAAGGCACAAATTAGAACATAATATGATCTTACCAATGCCAATTTCCGCAGCCTGAAAAATACTCAATAGAAGCTGACATGGTACAAAACAGAAACACAGACCTGAAGGACAGTTTCGGGTGACGCACCCATGCAGGCAGCAAAACCAGCACTGGCCATTGAACACGCAACTAATAATAGTGGCATGAACACTATCATTTTTTACAAAAATTTGAGTCAGCGCACCACCGACTTCCGCTTGGCACCCTCCTTCCGCAGCTGAAATTGTACTGCCCCTCTTGAATAGCATGCCCACTGCCTGTAAACTTTCGTTAGTGTCCGATTTTCGCTTGAAACTAATCTGCATCGCATACTGCTGCGGTCAGTAAGAAGGTCTTGATCGACTTCTCGGGGTCATCGCTGATGAATTCGATGACATACTTCAGCACAGCAGGGATGACACCCGCCGCACCATTTGTTGGTGAGGTGACAATGCGCCCCCCACTGGCGTTGACCTCGTTTACAGCGATTGCGTAACAAGAAAGGAAATCGACAGCCGGTATCATTGTCTTACGCTATACGCGATGTCAAGATCCTGCAGATTGGTGAAAATGAGCGATTACCGGAGGCATTGGCAGAATTGCATGATCGAACGAGCCCGTGACCCATGGGGCGCGCGGCATCTTTCCTGATGCACTTACTTCACCACATCCGTCACTTCCGTCCGCATAAGACGAAAATTGTGTGTCTGATTCTGGCGCATTTATTGCCCCGGCAGATGCGGCGGATGCGGAACCGATGAGCTGCAAATCGAGTGTTGCAATCCCCGGATAGAACCTGTTTCACCATGATTAGGATCATGTTCATCGGTAAGTACACAGTAAACCATAACCGACCCTCGCATCAAGCGTTTGTACAGCATCGGGGCGCGGCGTCGGAGACCCAAACGACCGGGGAGAGTCTTCTCAGCGGTACTCACCCCTGACCGGATGCAATCGTCCATGACCGCCCATATCCGCATGAGCTACATACAATCACAATTAACCATATTTGAAGCTGAGCAGACGAGTACCTTGTCGTTGATATCGGCCTCGGATAGACCAAAATAGCGTTCATTATCATATACGATTTGTGCGATAGTGAGCTATTTGACCAGTGTCAATCAGATACCTCCATGAAGAAGTGAAACGTACGTTGTGTTTTCTCGTAAGCGTTAAGAGGCTGTTTCCAGAATCAAACGGGTACGGCGGATGTCCAGGATCATTCGCTGCTGGTTGAGCTGGAGTCTGATCTCCTTCGACAGCGTTGTGGGTCTGATGCAACCTTGCTCCATGCACCGCGCTCTTGTCGACACCCTTGTAAAATAAATTCTCGTCTACTGTTGCATGGGTTAGCCGCTGACCCACAAACGAATATTAATATTGGGAGATGTACTCTTTGTCTTCTCATTTACTACAAATCCCCCTCCAACGCTGATAATTTATTCAACATCTTGATCAAACGCTAAGGCTATTGTACATACCTGTAGTATTCGTTAGTTGCCAAGAGTTCGCCTTCTTCGCCAAAGCACGAGAAACGCATCCCATTCGGGTGCGTCTTGAGTACTTGATCCCACCGCCACAGCATATCACGGTCCATGTCAAAGGTAATGCGGCGAATACCTCCAAGATGAAGAGTTCTATTTGCGAGTACAGCCTCGTAACGGGAAGAAATTGTACCCGTGTCAATAGTTTCAGGGTCTGAACCTTCAAGCCCGAGGAGGATCGCCTGCGGAGTGTGATGCCTGCACAAATGGGATTCCAATGGTAAACTGACATCATGGTGGGGCTGGAATAAGATACTCACCCTTTCCCTATGTGAAGAGAACTCTCGATTAGCGAACAGAACTCCGGAAATCCAAATATTTACCTGTGGCAGCCAGTGATCCATAGCTATCATGCGGACCTGCACTGTCAGCTTCATGCAGAAAGAAATCACGCTCCTGCACTCACAGGACTATTTTCACAGTTTTGACCTTCCAGAACAGGTTCATTCGAACGTATTTGAGGTAGAGAGCGAAAGCACGTACCTTGTCCAACATTTGCAACTCCTGCAGGTCAGCAATGAAAATCTTGCCAGCGCGCATGGGCCCAACTGTGTGAGAGCTGCTTGGGCCCACTGAACAAGTCAATTATCCATTCAGCCTTGTATTCACGCGCTCAAACCTCAACGATACAAGGACTCACCACCAATGCTGAACAAATCGAATGTGGAAATGACAGCATGACCTGGTTTAACTTTCTCCGTTTCTACAAGAGCAGAGTTATCTCTTGCCTGACTCGATGTTAAAGTGTTTGTAGGATATTGTGAGGTTATTGTGTGGGATATGTTCCTGTTCCTGCCCACTGAAACATACCGAAGAAAGTGCGGCGGTCGTGCACGGAGCGCCGCAACGCGGATTGTTGAAGAGATCATTATGAAAGAGGTGAGAGGACTGGACGGTCTACGTGTGCCTGTCGTTCTATGTCGTTATGGTCCAGCTCAGCTGATCCTGCCGGCGAAAGGAAAACTAAAGGACAATTGAGTCAAAGGGATGAAGTACAAGGTTCATCTTTTGGTAATTGGGCCCGCTGCTATACTTTTTCTGGACATCCTAGAAAGGAAGATGCTGTATTCACGGATCAGCGCTGTTCTAAATTCAAGAAGGTTCGTTTGAAAACGACTGTCTTCCTTCTATTTGGTTTGCCTAGGGGAGAATAGTGCTTTTCAGACCTGGCCGAACCTCAGCCTGGGTTTGTCTACGGCTTTACAGGTCTCGTAGAAACAACACATTTTCTGCTGCTTGGACGATTTTCCAGAGTACTTATCGATCATACGTACCTCTCGAGCAGAAATACATTGATAAGTGTTTTTGTACGCCGTCCACGGGGCCTGACCTTCGTTCTCAGACGATGGGTTACATGATAACGGAATAATATTTACCGGAAGGCACCAAGGTACGTGCTTGATATGCGGCCGTCTCTCTTACACAGGAACCAGCTTCATTTCAATTTTAACAGTGTGGTCCAGGCGATTCTCGATGCGAGGGCTTGCGAGGAGTCGAGCTGCTCGAGCAGCGACTCCGTGGCCCAATAAACTGCCATAACTTGCTGACCCATCATGTGACAAAAGGTACGCAGTTATCGATCATCAACGACGATGTCTGACTTAATGAAGCTCGATTCATTGCCGTGTGTCACACCCCACACTAATATAAGCTGTGCTCTCCGAGTCTCCACGCTCCTTATAACCATCCTTCCTTGTCTGTTCTTATCCATTCCCTCTCTTCTCTCCCTCATATTCTATATTTTCTGCCGGCCCCGATACCAGCGAACACGGTCCCCTGCTTGCTTCAACTCTGAATAGTCATACACCCCGCCAACTCACTCTAGGTTCCGGGCGTTTCCTACGTTTCTCAGAGTTCTATCCAGCATCTCCTTCCACGCAGCTGGGTATTGAGCAAGCTCTTCATGTCCATACCATCACCGTAATCGAAGCGCCAATTACCGCATTTACCGGCTCAGCTCAATTGGGGCAGCCTTCATCGCACACCGCTCCTGGCTGTAACACCCTTCCGCTCATCCAGGATATCAATTCCTCTCAGACGCTTTGGGGTCCCAGACAAAAGGAGCAGATACTCTACCCAGCCTTCCCAACGTCTCGATCAACAAACCGATTTCAAAAGGCAAGCGCAGACTTCCAGAGGACCCGCCTGCCACCCTGTCAACTTCGCCACTCCTTTTTTTTCCCTCAAAAAATGGGATATATGTGTGCGTGCTATTTAAGACACACTCCATTCCTCCCGTCTCCTTTCTACCACTGTGCCACTCGTATCTTTCAGGAGCATCTTCCGTAACATCACCAAAATTCTTTGCCAGTGCTGTTGTTATCAGCTCTTTTAACTCCCCCGTCTAGCTCACATTCTCAATCGGCCCCTTGATTCCCTCTCGGCTTGCGTGACCGAATCGGTGGCGATGAAACTCACCCGGTCCGTACAACCGAAGATCCTACACACAGTGGGAGTTTAAGTTCGTAAAGAACTTCCAGCACCGCTCCCCTAGAAAAAAAATAGAGTCCCTTAGCGGCAGCTTAGTGAGTCTTTATTGAAGGCACTATCACGCTAGCGCACGGCGCGTTTGACAAGTACCACTAGTTTTGATGAGCTGGTTAGGGTGTGAGGCGACCAGTGCATGCCCCAACTCAGTAGCAGCATGGCGCGTGCTTCCCACAGGTCACGTACTAAATGAATTGGACACACGTCTCAGACGAGGACATGCGCCACACTTCGTTTCCTGCCATGCCTAAGGTTTGCGAAGCTGCATAGCCCATTTCACAGCCGCGGAATCATGCGACAACCCCAGGCTGTGTGTTTTAAAATGACATCTGATGATCACATTCAGCGTTCCGCGGTTTTAGCGAAAGGATGATTTGATCGGGAAACACAACCTAGGAACTTTGCGGACAGGGTCTCATCATATGAGCCCTATCCGTAAAGTTACACAACAGGCTTATCAGGCACAAAATAAAGAGGTAAGGATGATGAATATTGGCCTGTGCTGACCACAGAATTAACGTCAATCCATCAATGAAGTATATACATAGTACTTGCATACTATGATAAGCAATGAAATACCATGGGTCGATAACCCAACTCACGTTCTGCGCTGTATGATATTATTATGAACTTTGCTCCTGGACGGCAGGATAGATGATCCAGCGAATCAGGGGTTCACGCGTGGTATGATGACCATTGACGAGCGACTAAGTTTTCACGGTGCAGATCATACTCTATCATACTGCTATACTTGTAATATTACGCGGTCGCCCGCAATATTGAAATTCCGGTGTCTGCTGGATCGTTGGGATTGGTCGTAAAAAAACTTAGTTAGATGATCCTGTGTTTTTTGGTGAATACCGGGAATTTCGGGCTCGAGCTAGTCAACAGACTGATGCTAATTAGTTTGACAGATCTGATAATTCATTAATATTGATTGTGTGTCCATGTCACTAGATGTCACTTTGTGGTTGCTGGACAGCCACAAATTTGAGCTTCGAGCCCGTGACTTCCTTCTTGCCTACAACCGCGAGCTCAACGTCCAACACAGCGAGTTCGACGCTGTCCACGACGGTCTAGAACGCGGACTTACGAAATAACGACCTTATTATCGTATTTACAACCAGACCTGAACTGGTATGTAAGAACCTCAAATATCGTAGGCTGCCATAACTCAATTTCACACTTTTAATTCTCGGGACAGATCATCGAATCGTACAGCGCTACGACGTTAGGGCTCACTTGCCAAAAAATCTTCTTCTCAGGCTTCGCTTGGCTCCTTAGTTTTGTTCCAAGTTTTTGTTGTTGTGCAATTTATCACGAAAGCTTGACCTGTTACAACTTGCTACAATGGCTACTCCGGTTGCTACTGTCACGCCCTCTCGCGAACGAAGCTCGACTTCACAGTCAGCGTCATCTCCGATGTCAATGAGACCTCAGGCATCCTCTTCCGCTGCTTCAGTCGCGGCCTCTGCATTGGGTCAAACTGCCAACACCACTACATACCCCATTTCTCTCGAAACACTCCTTGCCACGCATGCCAGCGCACCAAATCCAATACTCGCTGCATTGGATCAGGTTCTATCAGAACGCAACGTCCTCTCAACTCAAAATACACAACTTTGGAAACTCATTGAGAAGCAACGTGCCGCATATAACCAGGTGCTCAAGGAAATTGAACGTGTCCGTAGTGAACGAGAAACCTACAAGACTCGCTTACAAGCAGCAGGAATGTTTCCTGAACTGGCAAAGAAGGCAAAGGATCGCGAGAAGGACAAGGCTAGGCGTTTGAGGTCGTCAGGATCCAATGCTACGATGTCGAGTATGTCTGTCAATGGGTCTGCCGATTTGCGATCAAGGATGGTTCACAACCAACTAGATGCCACATGTGAGTTATTATTCCATTTCGTGCTGGTCACATTCCTAAATAATGCCTTCCCAGCATCACCGTCTCACGACGACCGTCCCGTTACTCCACCAGAAATCAATACTCGTGATCTCAATCTCGAAACGCCTCAAACGCCTCAAACCATAATGTCTGCGCGTCCATTCAACTCTCCTTTGGTTGTGCCTCCTCGAGGTACCTCATTATCACTTGCTGCCGCATCTGTTGCTACTTCCTCTAGTGGGGCTACCTCGCCAGGCTCAACTTCACAATCGAGTATTGACCTAGAGAAGCCTCTAGTGCCACGTACAACCGACTCACGACCTCCTTCACAACAGCCCTCTGCACCACCACCATCTCTCCAGTCTACTCACCTGCCCCCTCCTGCCTCTCTTCGACCAGCCCATTCTTCCACCACTGCATTCCAGCCTCATGTACCATCCATCAACACCCTCATCCCCCTTTATGGCTCAGCCGTATCTCCCAACGGCTCAACCTTATCTCCCACCAGTATCTCAAACACTGCATCTCAGACAGGCTTGCTCAGCCCAACAATTGATAACTCACAGCACCCATCACGGGCATCTCGAATATCTTCTGTTTCACTCCCAGATGAGGCGAAGCTTTACATTGCCAACATGCGTGAGAGCCCATTACGAAGTCCACCGCATACGGCTGGGTTTAGCAATGATGTGGAGTGTCATGCTGGAAAGGCGCCTACTAGCGCGCCCCGGACAGAATCTCCCACGATCATGCTGACAAATGAGCAAAGAGATGAGATGGCACAGTTCCTAGATATGGACGATGATGAACGTGAAGATGAGCCGATAACAGAGCACTCGGAAACGAAGAATAAGCCCCATGCAGCAGTAGAAGATTTTCCAATGCCTCCCTCGCACGGCGCTGTTCATATTCATTCATCCCACGTGCAATCCTCGGATCCTGCATTAATGCTCACGCCAACACAGTCGAACCCACAGCCATCTGCGGCGGCGAGCACGCCTTCGCAGGCGCACTGGCAGCCGCAGCGGGAGCTACTGCAGTCCGACAATTCTTCTGTTCTTATCCCTGAATCTCCTCTACCTACTTCCTACTTGTCGCCGATAAATCCGACTTCATCATCCGGTACCAGCGCGACGTTCCGTGCACTTCCTCTCTTAGCAGACGACCTTGTGACGACGCGGGTCGCTGTCTCGCATTCGTCTGTAAAACCAAATGACCGTGGGAAGGAGGTTTTATCATTCGTCGTTGATGTGTACCCGGGACATGGTAAAGAGCCATGGAAGGTGGAGAAGCTGTACTCGGATGTACTGACCCTCGATAATCGCATGCGAGCTAGCGTTGGGAAGGGTATCGGGAAGAAGATGGCGGTACTACCAGAGGGAAGGATCTGGAGGGACCATGCACCTGCGAAGTCCGATCAACGCAAGGTGAGTATAATACACTCATCAGTGATAGTCATATCTTATACACGATCGACGCCCAGGTCGCACTCGAGGTGTACCTCCAATCATTAGTCGATCTACCTGTGAAAAATAAGGACGAAATTATCGCCTTTTTTACTTCCGACATCGTTCGAGAGACCCATAAGCCCGTCATGCAGGCCGGACACAAGGAAGGATACCTG